ATCAATGGGTTCTGGGGTGTGGGGTCCTACTGCCTGCACCTAGCATGGGTTCATGACAGGACCGTTGGAGTCTTCATGACACCTCCCACCCTGACCCCTACTCTGTAGAAGTGTAGCCCAGCCAAAGACCACAGCCTTCCCCACAGCCAGCGCTGTCTAGGCCCTCAGGGTCCTGCGGACAGACTCGTTTGCCACTGGGTGATCACCAGTTCCCCTCGGCTACTCTTAGGGACTCGGTCCACATCCTGAACCACTGACCATGGCCAGTCTTTTTTATACACACAGAAAAGTGTTTTTATATGAATGGTCTCATTTTATATGAACTTTCTCACAGTTTATATTTTTAAAAAATCTGAATGCTGAGGAGAAAGAAGGGGGCAGTGGCTTCCCCCAGCAGCAGCCGCATGATGGCTGGGTCTGAAATCCCAGATGGGTCCAGCCTGATGTCCTCGCAGTTGCACGTGGGGGTGGGAATACGCCCGTCTTCCTTCTCTTCTACCTTTTTTATAAGTAATCCTCCCAAGAGTCAGCCTTTCCCCAGCTCTGTCCTGCGCTGCACACTTGATCTTAATCTCATTAAGGCCTTCTTCACCCGGTTCCCTGTGTGCCCAGTTCTTTCCCCTGCCCCACCAGGGGCTCAGCCTTCAGCTTGGCAGAGGAGGAAGGCTGGTAGCCGTTCCCTGAGCCCAGACCCCCTGTCAGCTGCTGGAGTCACCCACGGCGCCCACCTTAGAGTCTCTGGGATGCCTTGCAGCAACCGCCCCCGCTTTCTCATTTAGTTCTCACAACAGAACAGTGAATTAGAAAATCACCCCCATTTTCAGTCCAACGTGCTCGCAACTTGGGGAAGCCAAGTGGCTTCTCAGGGTCACTCAGAGCTCTGGAGTTGTGATTTAAATCCACGTGACTCAGCGGCTGTGTGTTGGTTTGGGGGTGCTTTGTTTGATACCCCTACTCACTTCCCCCCGTGGTGGGAAGGAACTCCTCTAAAATCATTACTCCTGCAGGCGGTGGTGGTGCATGCCTTTAATTCCCAGCACTCGGGAGGCAGAGGTAGGCAGTTCTCTGAGTTCGAGGCTAGCCTGGTCTACAGAGTAAGTTCCAGGACAGGCTCCAAAGCTACACAGAGAAACCCTGTCTCAAAGAAACAAAGGAAATCATGATTCGTGATAGGACTGAACAGGGCAGGTGCCAATAGCTCTGCCAGGTTCTCTGTGGGGGGGGGGGCGGGGAGTAGGTTCCTCCATGAACCCTCCAGAGAAGGAGGGCACCTGAGTGCTTCACAGTGCCTCTGCCATCTTGTGGGCATGGTGCACGTGTGCCACCCAGCCTCAGAAGGGGCCAGAGTGGATTCCACACTGACTGCTGGGGCTTTCTGGGTCTTCAGCTGATGCCCCTGCACATCCGCAGCTGCCTGCGTGTCACCCCTCTGTCTGTCTCTTGCCCCATCCCTAGCATGTCCTGTAATAAAATTGCAGAGTTGAAGAGATCTTGGTGCTTTTCCTTTGAGCAGGATGTTTGCTTTCGACCTTGTGCCGTCTGACTGTTGCCTCTGTCGGGAGACGGGCAAGGATGGGCACGTTTGAGCTGGTCTGACTTTGGAGTTCTGTCAGCAGAGGTCTTGAGCGACTTGCCTAAGGTAAGTCTGTAATAGAATGATAAAATATACCAAAAAATCTGGAACTCTGTGTAGAGAGTGGTCCTGGGGTTAAACCCATGGTCTAGAAGCTGAGCCTACGGCAGGCATTAGGTAATTATGGGAGGAAATGTACCAGTAGGGGTGGTGGGATAGCTCACTGGGTAAAGGTGCTTGCTACCAAAGCAACCTGAGTTCAGTCTCTGAATCCCACGTGGTGGAAAGAATCAGTTCCTAGTTGTCTTTTGACATCCACATGGGCACCATAGTGCACATACATGGTGGGGAGGGTGTCAGGAGGGGGAGACCCGTAAGAAGGGCTGAGTCAGAAGAGGGCAAGGAAAAAATGCAGAACCAGAGAGTGTCAACACCTAGCCGTCCACAGAGGAGGGCTCTGGGGCAAACCACACTGCAGAGCCAAAGCCGCCTTTTGTGCTTCTGTCACTGACGAGCGCGGCGAAGTGAAGTCAGTTTCCAGATTAGGGTTCGGAAACAGCCACTGACATCTTATGGGGACCAGTGCAAAATGAAGTGCAAGGAAAATGCTAGAAGCATTTAGTTAGATGCTACACAGTGGTGGCTTTGTCATTGTGTGTGACAGTGATATCTTACAATCAAAGAAACAGGAATTCCTGTTACCTGGGACTTGAGTGGTGCCCCATCTGTGTGTTTTTTTAATTGATGTTTATTGAGCTCTACATTTTTCTCTGCTCCCCTCCCTGCTTCTCCCCCCCTTCAATCCTCCCCCAAGGCCCCCATGCTCCCAATTTACTCAGGAGATCTTGTCTTTTTCTACTTTTTACTTCCCATGTAAATTATATCTATGTAAGTCTCTCTTCGTGTCCATATTTTTGTCTAAATTCTCTGGGATTGTGGTTTGTATGCTGGCTTTCTTTGCTTTATGTTTAAAAACCACCTATGAGTGAGTACATGTAATAATTGTCTTTCTGTGTGTGGGTTACCTCATTCAAAATGTTTTCTAGTTCCATCCATTTTCTTGCAAAATTCAAGCTATTATTTTTTTCTGCTGTGTAGTACTCCATTGTGTAAATGTACCACATTTTTCTAATCCATTTTTTGATCGAGGGGCATTTAGGTTGTTTCCAGGTTCTGGCTATGACAAACAAAGCTGCTATGAACATAGTTGAGCACATGTCCTTGTGGCACGATTGAGCATCCTTTGGATATATACCCAAAAGTGGTATTACTGGGTCTTGAGAAAGGTTGTTTCCTAATTTTCTGAGAAATTGCCACACTGATATCCAAAGGGGCTGTACCAGCTTGCATTCCCACCAGCAATGCAGAAGTGTTCCCTATTCCCCACGACCATTCCAGCATAAGTTGTCATCAGTGTTTTTGATTTTGGCCATTCTTTCAGGTGTAAGATGGACTCTCAGAGTTGTTTTGATTTGTATTTCTCTGATGACTAAGGATGTTGAACATTTCCTTAAGTGTCTTTCAGTCATTTTAGATTCCTCTGTTGAGAGTTCTCTGTTTAGGTCTATACTCCATTTTTTTAATTGGATTATGTGATCTTTTGGTGTCCAATTTTTTAAGTTCTTTGTATATTTTGGAGATCAGACTTCTGTCTTATGTGGGTTTAGTGAAGATCTTTTCCCATTCTGTAGGCTGTCGTTTTGTTGACTGTATCCTTTGCTTTACAGAAGCTTTTCAGTTTCAGGAGGTCCCATTTATTAATTGTTTCTCTCAGTGTCTGTGCTGCTGGGGTTATATTTAGGAAGTGGTTCCCTGTGCCAATGTGGCTTCCCACTTTCTCTATGAGAAGGTTCAGTGTGGCTGGCTTTTTGTTGAGGTCTTTGATACATTTGGACTTGAGTTTTTGTGCATGGTGATAGATATGGGTCTGTGTTCATTTTTCTACATGTTGATATCCAGTTATGCCAGCACCACTTGTTAAATATGCTTTCTTTTTTCCATTTGATATTTTTTTGTTTCTTTATCAAAGATCAGGTGTTCGAAGATGTGTGGACTGATATCCGGGTCTTCTATTGGGTTCCATTGGTCCTCCTGTCTGTTCTTATGCCAGTACCAGGCTGTTTTCAGTACTGTAGCTCAGTAGTAGAGTTTGAAGTCAGGGATTGTGATGCCTCCAGAAGTTCTTTTATTGCCCAGGATTGTTTTGGCTATCCTGGGTTTTTTGCTTTTCCAAATGAAGTTGAGTACCGTTCTTTTGAGGTCTTTGAAGAATTTTGCTGAGATTTTGATGGTCCCATCTGTGTTTCGATGTAAATGTTTACAGTTGTGATACAGCTGCCCTGGGATTTGGCACCGCAGCCGAACAGGCTTGCAGCCTGGAGCAATAGGGCTACACCAGTTCCCTTAGGTGTCGCATACTACATTACGTAGGTGTGTGTGAGTACACTCAATAACTTAGTCACCTAAGGACACGTTGCTTGGAGAGTACCCTTTCTTCGGCAACCCATAACTAATTTCAAGAGGACAATAGAGAAACCGTGCACGGGCGTAGTCAGGCAGGTCTGGGCGTAGTGCCCATTGTGACTGCATCGGACTGTCCGCCCACGAAGCCAACAGATTTGTCCCTGGCAGATGGGGATGGCAGGCTTTGGGACCAAGGGAATGCAACTGGTGAGTCAGGCAAAGCCTTGTACCAACGGCAGAAACTGCAATGTGTCCCGTTAACTGGATGCCATGGAGACCAGAGGAATGAGCTTGTGAGCTTGGAAGAGTCTCCCGGAGCTTGTGAGCTTGGAAGAGTCTCCCGGTGTCATCAATCCACCCATCTAACCCACAAACTGAATCATGCTGCACGCGTGTGTATGTGTATGCATGTGTATGAGATGCCGAGCTTTTAAACAGAAGAAAGCCACTCCGGAGTCCTGGAGGGCATGCGTCAAGGGAGAAAGCCATTTTTGCTGGGAGCCTGTGTCAGGCAACTACAGAACGGAAGAGCCCAGACTAGACAGGAATGCCAGAAATGCCAAGACGAGGATTCGGAGATTTGCAGCAGGAGTAGGAACACCACCAACTATTTTAACTGTTAAGCTGCTACACAGGCAGACTACCGCTGTCCAGCAGTTGAGACTAAATATGGGGAGCAACAAGAAAGCAAAGCCCCGCCCCACGGCTAAAGCTCAGGCTCGGAGCAGCCCGCACATGGGGGCGGGACCTGCAGAGGGGCGTGGCTTCCCGGGTTGCTGTCCACTCAAGAGACTGGATCCGTTCCGGCCCCTTGTCAAGCCCATCTCTCCAGAGCATGAGGCATGCTGCGCAGCTGCAAACGATTGCTTCCGGAGGCGGGTCAGCGGAAGTGACGTCTGAGGCTCGGCCGCCTGCTGTAGTAGGAGGGGCTGAGGTGAGTCCGGAGCGAGAGTCTGAGGTGAGCCCAACGCGGGGCAGCGCCGCAGGCTGGCAGGGAGGCAGACGCGGTGGGCGCCGCGAGTCCGCTGCCAGTGCCTCCGTCCCGGCGCAGGGGCAGCGCGTGATTCCTAGTCCCATGCGCGTTCTCGCGGGAGGCGCCGCTGTCTGCCCCTCCTTGGCGGGGACATTGGTCACGAGGCGTAGTTGCCGGCCAAGTCCCCCAGCCGTGGGGGTCGACCCCGCCGTTAGCGTGCGACCTCAGGCTTCGCGCCCGGGCCGCGTGGCGTTTCTGGAATCCGCACCGGCCTGGAGGCTCCGGCCCGTGGGTCCAAGGGCCACCGGACGCGCAGGGAGGACTTGGCCGACCTTGGCCTGGGCCAGGCTGCCTTCGAGGGGGCGGAGGGGGGGGCGCGTTGCTGAGGGCGCGAGGCCTTCCCTCCGGCTGGCGTGACACCCTTGCGCACTTAGCCCGGGTGTCCGCCGGGCACCGCTGGGCAAAGTTTCTGCTTGACCCGGGAGTGTCGGGCCGAGGCCTTCCGTGGAGCAGAGCTCTGCCGAGAGAGACCGCCCATCGGGGCGCGTACACTGCCCCCGCGGAAGGGGCTGCGGTGGCGCCAAGGTGCGAAGACCCGGGGCTGTGGAGCGGGCAAGCGGCTAGCGGGCACGCGGGGGGCGGGGCCTCGGAGCTAAGTTAGTGTCGCCGACAACGGTTTCCTAAAGCTGAGCGCTTGCGGTGTCTGGCAGAGGCCGCGCCGGGGGCCGATTGGTTACTTCATTTCTGGTTTGAGCGACCGACCACGGCGTGCACTGAGGACCCGCGTGATGCATGAGCACAGCGCTGAGGGACTGGGATGACCTGGATAAGGGTTCTGCCAGGTCCCACGGAGGCAATGGTATGGACAGGGCTCAGAGAGGGCGTGTTGGGAGCTGATGGCTCAGAGCAGAGGACTAGGGAGGAAGGGTGGCCGCAAAGCGTGCACTGGCCAGTGTCAGAGCTTGTTTGGGGAGCCGGAAGATGGGGTCTGGCTGTTTGGTAGGCCCTGCTGGCAGGAGGGCTGTAGAGTCCAGGAGAGAGTCAATTTAAACACCAGAGCAATAGAATGAGCAGTTTATTCAAATCTGCCTTCACCTAAGGATTAGATTCAGCTGGAGTCTTTGGAGATGAAGCAAGACAGGAGTAGCACATTTAGATGACATTCAGCAAGAGTCTGGCACACAGGGACTTTGTAAGCGTCAACAGGGCTGCACATACCAGGACTTAGACCAGAGACTTTGGCACTGTGTACTGTACAGCCACTGACTGGCCAGGCAAGTCCTTTCCTTTCTCTGTGTATATCATGACAGCTGTCCTGGTAGAAGAGGAACTCCAGATCTCCCTTAAGAGATACTTCCCGTCAAGTTCAGTTCATCCCAGTTCAGCACTAGACCTCATTCCCCAGTGACTCCTCACCCAGGCATTGCAAACCCTCATGACAACCCCTGTCTGCCTTCTGCAATGTCTTAGGCTACTCTGTTGTCTTTTACAAGTCCCTCTCTTTCCTACTCTCTCCAAACTCAACATGGGATCTTGGGCTGTAGTCAACTCAGATGCCCACCTGCCTGATGCCCAGCCTTCTTTAGAAAAATGTATATTCTTGGTGTTCGATAGACATAAAGCTCACTGAACCTCCATGCCAAGGTAGTTGTGAAGAATGCAGTCAGGAGTATTGCTTTGTACCTTAGAAATGAGTTTTTACAATAACTCAGGAGTAACGGTCTTGTTTTAAATTTCATTAAGCACTTCACCCACCTACCCCAATTTCACTGACCTTTAGGGTAGCCTAGAATGGCAGTTTTTCTCTTTTCATGGGTTTTTGTTGTTGTTGTTGTTTTTTGAGGCAGACTTTCTCTGTATAACAAACAGCTCTGTCTGTGCTGGAACTCAATCTGTAGACCAGGCTGGCCTTGAACTCAGATCCTCTGCCTCCCAAGTGCTGGATTAAAGGCATGTGCCTCTACTGCCCAGCAAGTGGCAGATTTTCTTTTCCCCATTTTACAGATGAAGAAACCAGCATTAAGAGACAGAGCCATAGAAGACTAAGCCAAAATTAAAAAAAAAAAAAAAAAAGGCTCGTGAGGCTGGAGGTGTGGTTCTGTGACAGAATGTTTTCAGCTGGGGATAGGGTGCAGCCTTACGACCACTTTCATCTTCCCCCACAGCCCAGTAGACTGAAATTAGCCTGAGTTGGCTGTTGACTCTTTCTTTCCCACTTGCGTTTTCAGGAATAAATTCCTGGGCTTGGATCATACCCAGGTTTTGCTTTCCTTTGAGCTATGTAACTACCGAAGGCTTCTATCTGCATCTTTGAGGCTTTGCTTCAGTTAACCTCTTAGAGCCTGGAAATTTCCCAGGGTTGGCCAAGCTTTCTCAGCAAACCTGAAACATAACCTGTAAGGATCCGGGTTTAGAAAAGCCAGTGACGAGTAAGGGTAGCCTCTTGGGCTAGTTTTCTTCCTTTAAACATTAGAGGTGGTTTTAGCAGCGACTTTGTAGAGGCTTATTTCGTGACTACCAAGTCCCTACTCCGGGTTTGTTTCACAGGAAAGATCTCATGCTCCCAGGAATGGCCTGATATGAAGGAGTCATACCTTCAGCTTTCCCAAGCTGCCCTGTGGGTGCCTTGTCCTTCAAGTGCAGGAGCTGGCTGAGCTGTCAGGAATGGAAGCCAATGTGGTAAGGAGTCCCAAGGCAGGGGCTAGAGAGCTGAGTACTGAACTTGCTGAAGAACTATACAAGGCCCTGAGAGACCAGTTCATTTTTGCTTTTCACTGAGGAGCTAGATTTTGAGGAAGCTGTAGTCCTACTTTCTTTTTGGTACATTTCATGAATCCATGTTTTTACTTTTTATGCAGAGGAACATGAGGGAACCAGAACAGTCCATACCCAGAGCTAATTCTGGTTCCTTCTTTGGACCCTCCCAACCACTGACTACTTTAACAGCACCAGGTGTAGAAACTGGCCCTTACAATGATTTGACTCACTTCCAGAAGAGAAAGGAAGGCAAGAACAGTAGTTACTCACTCTGAGGCCTTTGGGTTGTTCGTTTTTCTTCTCTAGACTATCCCAATCTGGCAAAACAAGCCACATGGGGCTGCTCGGAGTGTGGTAAGAAGAATTGGGACCAATCTACCCCTGAAACCTTGTCCCCGGGCATCCTTTGAGGTAAGTGTACTGGAAGATGAGGAAAGTAAAGTCTCAAGAGTATGGGAGGTGGATGCTTCTTCTGTGCTGCAGCCACCTTGTCAGTTGCCAAGGCTTTTGTCCACTGTCTCATTTCCTAAGTGCTCATATAATAGACCCTGGTCATTGTGCCTTTCTGATTGCACAGACATGTGAAGACCCTGGTCATTGTGCCTTTCTGATTGCACAGACATGTGACCACAACAGTCAGACTTCGTTTGCTCGTAAATTGATAATCTTTCATCTTATCTTTGTTGCTGCTACTCAGTGACTCAGATTTTATAAGCTTCCAGCGATGCATTTTATCAAAGCAGGCCAGAAAGCTTTTGCAAAACCAAGCCTCCAGATGACTTACATCAGAGCTCTGAGGCATTTGTGCCCTGGCAGGTTTCTCTTCTCTCTACATGAGTGCTGTGACTCTTGCTTTTCTCACCAGCCCTGTGAGTGGGCCACTTAGCTTCTATTTTTAGTGTTTCTCTGTGGCCTCAAATCCCCATCCTTCTCTTTCTGTCCAAATATGGCCACTGTATTACTGGGCTGTGTTACAGGCTAACCTCTGTGTCTATGGAGGCTTTAGCATCCACTCTACAGCAGAGATCCCTGTCTGCACTAGGTCTCTGAGACCTGCTTCTGTAGTAGAAAGTGATGTTCATTAAAGCCAGAAGCCTCCATTAAGAACTCCTGGTGATGCTGGGTGATGTGGCACACACCTTTAATTCCAGCACTTGTAAGGTAGAGGCAAGCCCTGTATACAGAGTGAGTTCCAGGACAGCCAGGGCTGCACAGAAACCTAGTTTCGGAAGGAAAAGAACTGGTGAGGCACCAGCTCTGTGTTAGATGGTTAGGGTGGTGAGTGTGGGAAATGGACATGAAAGCATTATGGGTACACAGAGGAGGTAGAAACACGCATGAAAAAACATGGGCCTAGGGAGAAAGAGCAAGCGTGTGTGTGTGTGTGTGTGTGTGTGTGTGTGTGTGTGTGTATGTATTTTGTATATATATGATGATGATAGCTACAATCTGTGTAAGAACTGAATCCAGTGTTGGTGTTAGGAGGCAGGATTGGGATCAGAAGTGTATAGTTAGAGGACTAGTGTCTCATTACTGAACACTGTCCAGAACTGTCAAAAGAACATGGGAAGGATCTCGGTACTCAGAAGCATCAGAAACAAGGGGAAATAAAGTTGTGGAATGTAACACCATGGAAGTTTTCCCACATTTGACTATACCCATTGTCCAGATGCTGCTGAGCAAAGATAGTTAAGGACACAGGTTCTTCAAAGAAGGACTATATAAGTACTATTAACATTTAGTATACGGGGCTGGGGAGATGGCTTAGCAGCTGCTCTTCCAGAAGACTTGGGTCTGGTTTCCAGTACATATATCACAGCTCACAACTACCTATAAATCCAGTTCTAGAAGATCTGACACTTTCTTCTGGCATCTGTTGGTAACAAGTATGCACACAGCACACGGCCATACATGCCTGCAAAACATCCAAACACATTGGGGGTGGAGAAGCTCAGGCCAGTCCCATTAAATAGCCTGATTTGTAACCAAGAAACTTTCTCCTTACTCTAGGAAGCCTTCCTCACTTAGTACCGGATTAGGTGTCCCATTTTGCATTAATCCAATTAGCTGTCATCATGTTATGTTATGTTTTGCTTTCCTACAGACTCTGCCCAACATTTCTGACCTGTGTTTGAGAGATGTACCTCCAGTCCCTACTTTGGCTGACATTGCCTGGATTGCTGCAGATGAAGAGGAGACATATGCTCGGGTCAGGTAGTCGAGGCAGTAGCTGCTCTGCTGGTGATGGGGAGCTTTTTCTACCAGAAGTGGCGATCAGCAAGGAGGGTGTTTTCTGAGGCTGAGGCCAACAGGAATGAGAGCTACAGTCTTAGAGGGAAGTGGTAGAACCTGTGGGGTGAAGGAATTTAATCGGGTATAGTGGTCAGCTGTCTGTAGTAAGACTTTTTCCCTCTGGTTCAGGAGTGATACGCGCCCCCTAAGACACACTTGGAAGCCCAGCCCTCTGATTGTCATGCAGCGGAATGCTTCGGTGCCCAATCTGCGTGGGTCTGAGGAGAGGCTCCTGGCCCTGAAGAAGCCAGGCCTACCTGCCCTAAGCCGAACCACTGAGCTGCAGGATGAACTAAGCCACTTGCGCAGCCAGATTGCTAAAATAGTGGCAGCAGATGCAGGTAGGAGCCCCACTGAAGATGTAGCATAGCAGGTTGTCCTTTTCCCTGCCCCTGGTTATTGAGCAAGACAAGGATGAGAAAAATTATAGTCTCTGATTCAGAAAGACTTAGGCCTAGGGCTCTAGAGTTGACCTGAGGCTCAGATATCCTGTAATATTTTTTAGAAGATGTCTACTAGTCATTTATTGATTGGTTTGATTAGGAACAAAATTTTAAGTTAACCAGTGACACTGAGGAAATTTCTTCTCAAAGCCAAAAACCTAATACCCCCTTTCTAATTGTCATTAATATCACATATCCCATGAACCCAAAGAGCTCACTTTTCAATATAAGCATTCCTCACCAGCACCATGAGACATAGCCCCTTAATTACCTATCTCCCTCTAATTGTCTTTTCTACCAGAGAATACTTCTCTATGCAGCTTTCTGCATACAATTAAGGCAGAGGCTTAAACAGGAGAGGAGCCTGCCTTAACCAGAGGCATAGACAATCCCCCCAAATGACTCAAAGACATAGCTCCTAAACACTACCAGCTAGTGAAGCATATACATAAAAGTTGTAGTGTGGGGGGCAGTAAGATGGCTCAGCAGGTAAAGACACTTGCCACCAAGTCTAACTACCTGAGTTCCATCCCTAGGACCCACATGGTAGAGCAAAGAACAAGACTCCTGAAAGTTGTCCTCTGACCTACTCTATGGTAAACCTATACCCACCCACATACAATAAATAAATGCAGTATTTTTTTTTAAAAATTGAGCCATGGAATATGAAAAACCAGTTATCATTTCTTAGGAACGCTGAAGACAGTTGTCTCAATTAAAACTGGGGAGTTTTGTCTAGAACACTTGAAGCTCATAAATAGCAGAATTCGAACTATCAACTTGAAACACTGTCACAATCGAGAAAATGACAAATGTAGGAACTGCAGGCCTTACTTGGCTTCAGTTTAGAAGAGGGCTGTCAACCTGTAGTTCACTGTGCATTGGGAGCATTTAGGACTCATGACAGTGTGTGGGGAATAGGGTTTTCTGTCTTGAACACGACAAGAGCCAGTGCTTCTCTGCCTACCTGGAGCCCTCAGTGGGAAGTAGAGTGGGGAAGGCTCCCTTGGGGACATCCCTCCCATAGCACTCTAGGAATGTCATGATGTGGGTTCAGGAAATGAGTGTGCTCTGTAGGCGGTGTTGTGAGAAGCTTGATGGCAGCCCAGTGTCCATTACATCTATTGTTTTCTCTTTCAGCTTCGTCTTCATTAACGCCAGATTTCTTATCTCCAGGAAGTTCAAATGTCTCTTCTCCTTTACCTTGCTTTGGATCCTCATTCCACTCTACAACTTCCTTTGTCATTAGTGACATCACTGAGGAGACTGAGGGAGAGGTCTCTGAGCTTCCAACAATCCCCCTGCTTTGTTCTGCCAGCCCTGAATGTTGCAAACCAGAACACAAAGCTACCTGCAGCTCATCTGAAGAGGATGACTGCATCTCTCTGTCTAAGGCCAGCAGCTTTGCAGACATGATGGGCATCCTGAAGGATTTTCACCGGATCAAACAGAGCCAAGACCTGTGAGTATCTGATAAGAGCTCAGGTGAGCTTGAGTCAGTTGTGGCTGAAGAGGAGTAATTGTTACTACATTCACAAAGCTTGCTGACTGACTAGGGCCTAGTTTGAGGAAAAAGCAAGAGCCTCCAATTGTTCTGTTAAGACTCAGCAGCTAAAGGGCTGTAGAGAGCAAAGCAGTTAAAGAAAAAAAAAAACTAAAAAAGAAAAAAAAAAAAAAAAACAAAACACAAAAATATAACTCCAGTTCCAGGGGATCTGGCACCCTCACACAAACATACACAGGCAAAATACCAATGCACATTTAAAACAAAAAACTCCCACCTCAGTAGCTTTTTAATTTGCATACTGCTAGCTACCGTATTTCAACATGCTCTGCCCTTCAAAGTTGGGAAACTAGCAGACTTTTTGGTGGAAGAATTTCATAAAGATTTTAAGTAAAATAGCTTGAGGCTGGGAAGATGGCTTGGTGGTTAAGAGCAAGACTGCTCTTGTAGAGGACCCAAATTTGATTCTCAATACCCATAGCACAGCTGTCTGTAATCCAGCTCCAGGGGGTCTAACACCCCTGGCTTCTGCAGGCACCTGCACTCATACGATACTCTGTAAGATAAAACCTTCAAGTTCTGGTACTTGAGAACCCAGAGGGTTTTTTGTTTGTTTTTTTGAGACAGGGTTTCTCTCTCTGTGTAGCCCTGGCTGGCCTAGAACTCCACCTGACTCCAGAAGTGCTGAGACTCAAGACATGTGCCCCCACACCCAGCTTGAGAGCAAGGTTTTAAGATTCATAATTAGTTCTTAAATCTGGCTGCGCATTAAACTGCTCAGATTTGGGGCTTTGGTTGGTCTATTCAGTCAAGGTCTTACTGTGAAGCCCTGGCTGGTCTGGGACTTGCTTTGGACAGTCCTGTCTCTGCCTCCCAAGTACTGGGATCAAAGGCAAGGGTCACTATACCAGGCCCAAATTTGTACACAGCAAACTTAACAAATCAGAATGCCCAGAGAATGGAGCTGTGGTTGCCTTATGCTCAAGTCTAAGGGGAATTGGACAGGCCAAGTTGGAAGCAAGGCCATTTTCTTGAGCCCCTCAAGAAGCTTCCTGGTAGAAAAGCTCTAGAACTGCCTGAGGGAGTCTGCAGTTTCTCCAAATGTACTCTGAGGCACTCTACAGGAGCTTGTTTTGGGGTGCCTTAGTTGGGAGATTGGCCTTGATAGGTAGCCAGTATAGCTGTCCTTGTTAGTGCTGGCCAAGAAACTATCCTAATCACTGTTCTTCCTGTCTGCCCCATAGGGGCTCCTTAATCTCTCATTTCCCCAAATCCAGCTATTGCCTCAACCTCATTTTCGGTTGGCTTTGTGCCCTTTCTCTTGTAGTCAGTGTTGTAAAACATGCCCCTTGTCTGTCTCTCTGTAACTCAAGCTGGTCTTGAACTTAGAATCCTTCTGACTCTGCTCCCTGAGTGCTAGAAATGCAGGTGTTTGTCACCAGGTCACCTTCTGTTACTTGGCTTCTTTATCTTTTTTCCCTGAGACAGGGTTTCTCTGTGTAAAAGTCCTGGCTGTCCTAGAACTTGCTTTGTAGACCAGGCTAGCCTTGAACTCACTGAGATCCACCTGCCTCTCAAGTGCTGGGATTAAAGGTGTGCGCCACAACCTCCCAGCCTGTTACTTGGTTTCCTAGATCAAATCATATCAAATTTTTACTAAATCTCTCCCATGTGTGTACTGACCTCTAATAGAAGTAACTGACTAAGACTGGCTCAGTTAGCCAGGTCAGCTAAAGTTCAGACATGTGAGTCAGAGTCAGTCTTGGTCTTTGTGTATTGCTTCCAGGACCTGTAAAACACCTGCATGAAATGTGTAGAAGTTAATAGCTTCAGACAACTAATTTTTAGAGCATTCATTACCCTCTTGTGTGATAAAGGTATGCCTACACTAGAGTTGATTTGGTTCCCACAGTTCCTTATAATGTAAATGTTTTGCTATTTTTATCTATTAAGGAAAGATGGTGGTAGGTTGTCTTGTCTCCATAACTAGTAAGGATCAGAATGGCAAAGCCATCAGTCACTGCAGACCCTCTTGAGAATAGATCAGAACTCCAAAAAATTGATGGGCCTTCATTTTACCCTTTTTGCTAAGAAACAGGCATTCTGGGCTGGAGAGGGTTCTGTGGTTAAGAGCACTGACTTCTCTTCCAGAGAACCCAGGTTCAATTCCCAGCACCCATGTGGCAGCTCTCCAATTCCAGGGGATCCAACATCCACATACAAATATGCTCATAAAATAAAATATTAAAAGGAAATCAAGAAACAAGTATTATAGGTGCTAAAGAGATGGCTCTGTGGTTAAGAGTACTGGCTCTGTGGTTAAGAGTACTGGCTGCTCTTCCAGAGGTCCTGAGTTCAACTCCCAGCAACCACATGACAGCTCACAACCATGTATAATGGGGTCTGATGCCCTCTTCTGGCATACAGTCTTATGTACATGCAGACAGAGCACTCATACATAAAATACAGTAAAAAAAAATATACATTCTAGTTAAGAGAAGATGGGGTACAGAAACAGCTGGTTTTAAAGGCCAGAGGTTGACTGTGACTCCATGTCTTTTGTGTGCTGAATCTTCCCATAGGTGTGGGAACATACACTGGCAACTGCTTCACAGAATAGCTGTGAAGATTCAGGAGGTAAAAAGTGCATAGAGAAGCCAGGTGTGGTGGTGCATGTCTTTAATCCCAGAACTTGGGAGGCAGAGGCAGGAAGATCTCTGTGAGTTTGAGGCCAGCCTGATCTATAGAGAGAGTTCCAGGACAGCTAGGGCTGTTACACAGAGGAACCCTGTCTCAAAAGAAAAAAAGAAAAAAAATGCACATAGAGCACAACCCAGAACAGAGCAATTACTTCCTAAATAGAAGCTCTTGTTGTATCTCCAGAAGCCGGAGTTTACTGAAGGAAGAAGACCCTGCTGTGCTTATCTCCGAGGTCCTTAGGAGGAAGTTTGCTCTGAAGGAAGAAGACATCAGTAGAAAAGGAAACTGACCGCACTGACTGCAACCTCAGTCTCATGCTCCTGACTCCTTCAATAGCTGCCTTCCTCGCTGCAGATGTCTCTGCCTCCGTTAGAAGTCTGCAAGTGTCTTGCCAACGAGCTAGGGCTGGAAGAGAAGAGCTGGATTATGTGTTACTTGCACTTAAACCTTGACAGAAGCTAAGGTTTGTGATTTGAGTTTAGGCATTTGTTACAGGTAATCAATCGGGTAGGGTGGAATGTCTGTTTAAGAGGTGAAGTTTCTTGTTTTTCCTAGTCTCTGCGTGAAAATAGGCCCTAAATGAATGACTCAGTTCACTGCATTAGACTCCATAATTGGTCTACTGGAAACTTTGTGCACAGCTGTCACTCTCAGCAGCAGCTTCCTTTCAGCACCACAAGGTTAAGGGGGGAGTGGCTGTTTATGTTCACGTTCACAGGGACGATCTTATGCTGCTCCATCAGAACCCACACCAGTGTCCAGCAGTCACCTTTTCCTCTAGCTATGGCAGTCAGGCCACTGAACCAGCCAATACTTGGCTGCTGCAGGGAGGCCTGGGCTATTTTTTCTTAAACATTTTATAAAACTACAACCAGATCTACCCTCCAGGGCCTCAGCAGTTCTACTGAGTGAAATTATTTTAAGTCTGGGAAGGAGAATTTGGGAAAGAAAAGAGCATACTATCCTTCTAGGACAATAACCGACTTCTCTGGGTTGGGCCAAGATTTTATTTTCTGCATCGTGCATGACTCAGGTGCCCTCAGGGCCCTCTTCTCTAAGAATACTGCGTGTCTGAGTTGAAGTACTACCTGACATTAAATGAAGGATTTGGAGAAATGGTGCATTTTCTTTATCTATCACTGTGTTTTGACCACAGTGGCCTTTGGGGAGGACTCCTATTAATTGTAAGGTATGTGAGCTTTCTTAAACAGGCTCCTTACTTTCTTGCCTTTAGGACAGTGGTTCTCAACTTTCCTAATGCTGTGTCCCTTTAATACAGTTCTTCATGTTGTGGTGACACCCCCACCATAAAATTATTCTGTTGCTACTGTTATGAATCATAATGTAAATATCTGATATGCAGGACACCTAATACACAATCCTAAAGGGACCCACATATTGAGAACCACTGCCGTAGGAGGAAGTTTCCTGGGGCTGAAGAAATGACCCAGAGGTCAAGACCATTGGTTGCTCTTCCAAGAACCAGGTTGAATTCCCAGCACCAGTCATTTGTTCCTCCGGTCCCAGGGATCTGACACTTCTGGTCTCATAGGTATCAGGCTCACATGAGGTAAACAGACATACATTCAGAGAAAACACCCAGACATTTTATTCTAAAGGGTTTTGTCCTCCTTTCCATAGAAAATTTCCACAATCTCCTAGAGTAGGTTCCATTATTTAGCACTGTGTTTGCACATCCTAGAGGCTATTTACGGCTACACGAACGGTGGTGCTGGGGTAGATAGAACACAGGACAGTTGACACCAGTTACTAAAAAGCTGACTTGGGACCAGATGGTGATGGCACACACCTTTAATCCCAGCACTCAGAAGGCACATGCCATTGGAGCTCTGAGTTCGAGGCCAACATGGTCTACAAAGTGAGTTCCAGGATACCTTGGCTATATTGGGCTGGCAAAATGGCTCAGAAAAAGAAAGTCTTGCCACTCAAGCCTGATGATCTGAGCTTGGAATCCATGTAAACGAGATAGGACTCTTGGAAGCTGGTCTCTGGTGTGGGACATGTAATTGCACATCAGTGTTCCCTTTTCTTTTTGAGCAGGATATGTGGGGGTTTCTCTATTTTTTTTAAAAAGACCCCCCTTTTATTTATATAATCTGGGCACCAGATATCATTATAGATGGGTGTGAGCCATTATGTGGTTGCTGGGAAATTGAATTCATGACCTCTGGAACAACAGTCAGTTCTCTTAACCTCTGAGCCATCTCTCCAGACCTTCTCTGTAGCTTTGGAGCCTGTCCTGGACCTCATTCTGTAGACCAGGTAGACCTTGAACTCACAGAGATCTGCCTGTCTCTGCCTCCCAAGTACTGGGATTAAAGGCATGCACCACCATCGCCCAGCCAGGATGTCTGTTTTAGTTAGGTTTCTTTTTTTTTTTTTATTATGTGTACAATATTCTGCCTGAAGGCCAGAAGACCTAATTACAGATGGTTGTGAACCACCATGTGGTTGCTGGGAATTGAACTCAGGACCTTTGGAAGAGCAGGTAGTGCTCTTAACCGCTGAGCCATCTCTCCAGCCCCCTAGTTAGGTTTCTTATTGCTGTGAACATGGCAACTTTTAAAAATAAAAACATTTGAGGTGGCTTACTTACAGTTTCAGAGATTCAGTCCATTATGATCATGAAGGGGAACATGGCAGCGTGCAGGCAGCTGGAACTGAGAGTTACATCTTGCAACAAGAAGTGGACTGACCACCACCTCCAAGGAAAGTTTGAAAACAAGAAACCTCATAGCCTACCCCCACAGTGACACACTTCCTCCAATAAGACCACACCTACCCCAACAAGGCCATACCTCCTAATAGTGTCACTCCCTTTGTTGCCATTTTCTTTCAAACCACAGTGTCATTCTAGCTCAGGCTGGTTGAGTATTCCCTAAGTGGCTGTGAGTTGGCCTTGAACTCATGGAAATCCTGTCTCCTAAGTTGTCATACCCAGCTAAAAGTTACTTTTTGAATTATCACTAGATCCAGCTTCACAGTTTTCCAAAAGGAACCTCCCTCTTCTGGGGGGACGGGGCAGGGAGTAATAAAAAAACTAGGTTATTACACAGCTCAGATTTGGGAATGGGAAGATAGAGCAAACAACTTGTTTTTAACTGATTTCATTTTATGTCTGTGTACCACATGTGTGCTCGGTGCCTGCAGAGGTCATGTGGATGCTGGGAACTGAACCTGGGTCTTTACAGAGGTAGCAAATGCTCAATTGCTGAGCCATCTCTCCAGTTCCAGGTCAACAATGTATATAGTTACCATTAAAAAGAAAAAGGATCATGTGCCCTCCCACCAGCTAGCTCCAAACACCTGGGTTGGGGAGGGATACATCTCTTAAAATGCAGTTGGGAATAATAGTCCCAAGCTCATGCTTGTGTGGTCCAGCCAGAGGTGAGAAAAGAACATATCTGTAGCAAGCAAATAGAGCCAGGCCTCTGGAAGAACAGAGTAGCAACTCTGAACTGAGAAGTGATTTCAGCCAACAGTTCTGTCCTACTGTCTCAGTTGGCATCCATCCAATGGAATGCACCAGTCACCTTCCTGAGAGAAAAGCATGTCTACCGCACACTGCTTGCTTTATTTACATGAGCACAATGTTCCATAATGACAACTGCTTCAGCTCACATGGCCTCTCACCTAAACCCTCCTCTCCCCTCCATCTCTGCCACTTCAAGATACACCCACACAAACATTTAAAACTAGTGTCTGATAACCCGATTACCTTCAGAGTCCTGGGTAAAGAGCAGGTTTGGCTGTAGCTGTAACAGAGTAAGCTCCTCTTGGCACTGAGCCTGAGGGCTGTCAGGAAACGGCCCCAAGCCTTGATTCCTATCATTGGTTATATCTTGCAAAGGCATTTTAGTGTTGTGGGCAATGACCTGCTGGCCTTGGGAATCCTCAGTGAAAAGATGACTCCAGGAGTCCCTCTCATTCCGTTCACTATCCCAGGGAAACTCAGAAAGAAGAGGGCTTTTTGCCACCGACAGCGGTTTTTTCCTACTCCAGGATTCTAACCTGTAGGTTTGAAGACGCATAGAGGCCTGCCTGTTTTCCTTGGCAGTCCCTTTTTCTCCCAGTTCAGCTTTGTCCAAGGGCTGATAGCATTTACCCCCAGATGGTCTAATGTGGCTTCCCATGCCTGGACAGTTTGTCTTAGATCCATGAAGCCATTCCTTTTTCTTTCTGGCCTCTCTTCGGTCCAGCAAACAATAACCGTCCATGTCCTGGGTAAAGGAAGAAGTCAGGGAGGCTTTACTTAGTCCAGCATCCATCAGGATGTCAGGCTGGGGTGAAGATGTTGTAGTCAAAGACGGTTTTTCCAAACTGTGGCAGCTAGAGAACTGGGGAGATGGAGGAGAATGTCCAGCTTCCTGGATGTCTGCAGGAGCTGACGTGGTCAAAGGTGATACTAAGCAATCCAATCCCTGGGTTCTCTTGCATTCTTTGTTGATCTGATTTTCTTTGAGAGATAAAATGCTCTTCTGGTTCCCCCCATTTGCCATTCCTAATGAAACAAAAGATAATTCCACTAAAAAAATTGCCCTGAGCAGGATTTTGTTGTTTTCTGAGACCAGTATCAGCTGCTATTACTGCTGGGTACAGGAGTCCTAGACTCTTGCAATAACTTCATGGCTAATAGTCCTGTTTTCAGTCTTGCTTTTCTCTGCTGAACGCTCTAAAACTTCCGTCATATATTCCCCTACTCAAACACGTGGATGCTCCGAGTGACCTACATCTACCTAATATGTCAAGTGTGGTTTACAGTTAGACCATGGCCAACTTCTCCAACTCAGTTTTTGTTACATGCTTTTTAACACAGGGCAAAATAGTTTTTCTTTTTAAACTTTTTATTTACTATGGTTCCTATTGAACATTGATCCTGCCACTAGCTAACACAAATCCAAATATTACCCTTAAGGAAATATTCTCGGCAGATATTTTGTAAGGTCATAAAATCATTATCAAACTCTAAAATTTCCTGGTAATGATAAAAATAAATGTAGCTTTTCCACAATTCAGACATTTCATGAGAAAGCCAATGAAGATATTATATTAGGATGCTAAATCAACCAGTTACAAACTGAAAAACTAGCGTCTTGCTAGTCCATTTCATTAAGTGTAGGATGCATCCTGTTCTCCCTTAAGAATGAATGAAACAGATTCCCATTCTACACAAATTATATCAAGATACAGTTTTAAAAAGCAGAATGGTAGGTTTATTTTTGTCCTCTCCTAATAAGTTACACTGCAGAAACTGTTCTGTGAGAACACTCGTTTTTTCTTAGACTTCAACAGTATATAAAATAAATACACAAGATTTTGTAACTGGGGAAAGTTGATTTTGGGGGTACAGAGGAAGCTTTCCTTGTTATGTAAAAGTGTAAGTTTTATGTGGAAGAGGAATAGTGCACATTCTGTTTATACAATCCTGAGTGACACCCAAGAGTGGGCCCACCCCCTCCACCTGGCTCTGAGCTCTCACGTATACCCCTCCTCACTGCTGTTGGTAAATACAAATAGTTAAAATTAGACGGAGCAGAACAGAACCAGCAAAGCACACATATAAAAAGCATGTATAATATATTCCTTTTCCAGAGCAACATCTACAGTTCATAAATATTTCAACATGGAGAAATGAACACATTTGTTCTGCTCCTCAGATAATGAAATATTCCCAGGCGGGTCACCATACCTGGTTGCAAGGTGACAAAGGATGCAATACTGGTCTGCCGAGTGCTTCTTCTTTGAATAAAAGAAATATCACATTTTCTCTCTCCAGGAAGCAATGTCAGCATTTTGGTGCCTGGTTTGATTAAATGTGTCTGAGGGAGAAAAATAATTGAACCTATTACTATATCAGTGACTCATATTAGTTCACCCTGTCCTCTAGGTAGGACATCACCTCCCACTACTTCCTGCCATCTTGAGGATCCTGACCTCAGGAATCACATATTCCAAGTAGCCCAGTCTTACCAATTTCCAACACTTATCAATAAGGCTAACCAAAAAGAATTTATCAAAGTATCCAAAAATGAGGCACTCTTCTTTAGATTTAGAATAATTCTGTACTGGCAGTTGATACATTTTCAGTGGTTTTCAAATGGTTTCAATGGTTCAGAACATGGCCACAGGACCACATGGGTTGGGTTCAAATCAGTCTAACCCTTTATGGTCAAAAGTCCTAAAGAAACTCAGAAGAAACAAACATAAAAGTGACATGACAAACCTATAGCCATTATTGCAGTACATAAGGAAAAATTCAAAGCATCACTAAAATCAGGAGAAAGTCAAAGGTGTCTGTCTACTTTTTCTACTCTGAACCAGTGTTAGCAATCTTAGCTAGAGAATAAAAAAAGCAAATGGAAGGGGCACACATAGGAAACGCCAAAGATCCCTTCTCGTAAATGATGATCTGTACATAGAGGCTCTACACACTGCCAGAAAACCTTAAGAACTGATAAATACTTTCAGCAAGGCGTCAAGATACATTAGCATACATCCTTCTGTAGCCTTCCTATATGCCAATAACAAGTATGCCAAGGAAGAAAGCATATCCAAAATTACCTCAGGAAAGAATACTTTGGCATAAACTTAACCAAATAATTGAAAAATCTCTATAATGGAAACTTTAATAAAACACTCAGAGAAAAGATCTTCCATGCTCATGACTTCCAAGAACTGATACTGTGAAAATGGCTACCTTACCTTGGTCATTAATACTGTCCATTTGACAAGAGTTAAAACAGCCTAGGAGGCAAGCTTCTGGGGCACACTGGGAAGGAATTAACTAGATTAGGTTCACTTCTAGCCATGCGGGATTATTTTAAATTAACTGAGGTGGGAAGACTCACTCTTAAGATAGGCAGCGCCATGCAGAAAAAGGAGAAAGCTGGCTGAACCACCAGCAGTCATTCTCTGCTACTAACTGCAGGTGCAAGGCGACCAAATGACCACCACAGGTACTATCCCCTCCAACGTGAGCCAAAATTAACCCACAGGAAACTTACCAATCTATAAATCCCATGCCACCCCCATCAAAACACCAACATCGTTCTTCACAGAAGAGGAAAAAAACCTTAAAATTCATTTGGAATCACTAAAGACTCTGGATAGCCAAAGCAATGCTGAGTAACAAGAATGCAGGAGATCTTGCCACACCCGATTCCAAGTTATGCTTCAGAGCTATAGTAATAAAGAGCATGGTACTTGCACAAAAACACACATGTAGATCAACAGACGAGAATAAAACATTAACACAGGCAGCTACAGTCATTATATATATAGAGAGTCATATATATATATATATATATATATATATATATATATATATATATAAAAATAGATAAAATACTAACTGGAGTCTCTAACAAGGTGCTGGGGAAAGCTGTAAAACAATGAAACTAGGCCCATCTCTCTCAACACAAGCCAACTTCAAACTGATCAAAGACCTTAATGTAAGAACTAGAACTGCTCAGGGAAAAAGTAGAGAAAATACACTTTTTCTGAGTATAACTCCAGTTGTTCAGAATATAGAACCAATTAACAAATAGAACCTCCTGAAATTAAAAAGCTTCTTTATAGTAAACAGTTAATTGAAAGAAGAGACGGTCTACAGAAAAGGAGAAAAATTTTGCCATATATATATATATGACATTATTAGTATCTATAATACATTAAAAGCTCCAACAACTAAACAACAAGAAAATAAACCCAGTCAAGAAATAGACACTAAGGAGAGGCTATAGACATGGCTTGGCAGTTAAGAGCACATATTGCTCTTGCAGAGGACTAGAATTTGATTTCCAGTACCCACATCAGGCAGCTCCCATCAGTCTGTAACTCCAGCTCCAGGAAATCTGACACTCTCTAGCCTCTGTGGGTATCTGCATTCACAAGCACATATCCACACACAGACACACCTTTAAACAGAGGCAGGAGGATTTCCATGAGTGTGAGTCCAGAGTAGTCAGGACTACAGAAAAAGACCCTACCTTAAAAATAAACAATAAAATTAAAATGTGTGAAGGAACTGTGAATAGTTCTCAAATGAATATAAAAATATTCAATATCGCCGTGCGGTGGTGGCGCATGCCTTTAATCCCAGCACTTGGGAGGCAGAGGCTGGTGGATCTCTGTGAGTTTGAGACCAGCCTGGTCTACAAGAGTTAGTTCCAGGACAGGCTCCAAAACCACAGAGAAACCCTGTCTCGAAAAACAAAACAAAAAAACAAAACAAAACAAAAAAAAAATTCAATCTTTAGTGGTTAGAGAAATACAAATTAAAACTACTCTGATGCTGGGCGGTGGTGGTGCACTCCTTTAATCTCAGGAGGCAGAGCCAACCAGATCTGAGTTCAAGGCCAGTCTAGTCTACAGAATGAATTCCAGGACAGCCAGGACTACACAGAGAAACCTTGTCTCAAAATAAACGACTCTGATATTCCATCTAACCCTTTTCAGCTATCAAGAACAAAAATAAGGGGCTTATCTTAGTTATGTTTCGATTACTGCAATGAAACACCATGACCAAAAAAAGTTGGGGAGAAATGAGTTCTTGTCTTATACTTCCACATTGTTGTTCATCACCAAAATCTGTCAGAACAGGAAGTCAAGCAGGACAGGAACCCGGAGACAGGAGCTGATGCAGAGGCCATGGAGGAGTGCCGCTTACTGGCTTGCTCTACATGGCTTGCTGAGCCTGCTTTCTTATAGATGGCAGAACCATTAGCCAGGGATGTTACTACTCACAATGGGCTGGGTCCTGCCCTCAACAATCACTAATGAAGAAAATGCCTTACAGCTCGATCTTATGGAGGCAGTTTTTCAGTTGAGGCTCCTTCCTCTCTGCTGACTTTAGCTTGTGTCAAGTTGACATAAAACCAGCCAGTACAGGGCTGGAGAGATGGCTCCAGCAACTAAGAGCATTGGCTACTACTCTTCCAGAGGACCCAGGTCCAATTCCCAGCACCAATATTCCTGGCAGCTAACAATGGTCTACAACTCCAGTTCCAGGAGATCTCAGACAAGAACTCTTGTCTGAGGGCCCCAGGCATGTACCCAGTACAAAGTCACATGTGTAGGCAAAACACCCATACTAATAAACTAAAATAAAATTTAAAGGGAAAAAATGACAACAAGTGTGGGTAAAAAGGAACCCTTATTCACTGTTGGTGGGTGTGTAACGCAATGCAGCCACCGTGGAAATCACTATGGACCTTTCTCAAAAAAAAATCCAGAACCAGAACTAGCATGTGACTCACCTCTTCCACTCCTGAGCACATGCCCCGAGGTTAGAACCTACTGCAGCCATACTTGCTCATCCATGTTTATTGCTGTCCAATTCCCAACACTAAGGAGACGTGATCAACCCAGAGGTCCATCAACAGGTGAGAACGGGTAATGAAAATGTGGTATACATACATAATAGAATTATTTAACCTTAAAAAAATGAAATTATGCAATTTTCAAGAAAATGAATAGAACTGGGAAACTTACATTGTGAGGCAACAAAGCCTCAGAAATAGAAATACAGCCTGTGCTCTCATGAAGGCAGATTTAAGTTCTAATTTGTACAAATTCACACCGGTGTGGGGGCTGGAGTTAAATTCCAGGAAACTAGAAAAGGACCTATGGAAGGAGAAAACACAAACTAAGAAGCAGTGAGGGTGATAAAATGTGTATGGTAGTGAAAATACTGAAGGCAGAAGGGTTGGCCCAGGAAAGAGATGTAGTAATGAAGGTGGTACCAGGAAATGGAACAAAAAAAAACACCTGCTGCTTTGTATGCTAAAAAAAATAGTAGTAAAATACAAGCCATAAAACAGCACCAACGCTGCACAGCTTTCTGTTTGGAAGCACTTTCCAGGTCAATATGTACCTATGCTGAGCACTGCGGTCTTCGTGAGCTAAGTCAACATGAGATTGGGACTTGGGGAAGCTGAGGTAAGATCTGCAGTTCAGAGATGACTTCCAGACATCTACAGAGATCCCTTCAGTCTCTGCTCAGGCTACACTTGTATTTGGGAAACAGCCAGCTCAAACTGCAGGCTGAATGATTCCCAAAGCTCACACAAGGCCAAGACACTGGAGTTCCCACAACCCAGGGAAAACAGTCACGAGTTTCCATGTCATATGTTCTCGGCTAATGTGACCATCCTATTTTTACGTGAAAGAGGTCCTTATTGTTTCACCTTGAATATGGGGGAAATCCTGTGACTATCCTGAACCTCCAAACGAGAATGCACGCACTGCTGCCTTGCTCCCTGGAGATGCTCACTCTTGGAACCTAGCCAACACATTTGAAGACGCCCACACTGGCATATGGGTCTTCAGTTTTATAGGAACACACACATCTTAAATATGTGAAATATTGTGAATGATATTTGAGTGTCTACATGCAAGATGCTGAAATGAAAACAAAACAGACTCTGCCCTGGACAAGTATGGAGCTTTGAAGAGAAAACAAGCTATTAATAAATAGTTACTACATATATGCTAAATCCTATAAAGAAAACTACAGGTCAGAAAATTGTAAGCCCTCAATTGGCAAAATATCTGAGAATAAAGCTTTTTACAGCCAGGCTCGGTAGCGCAAGCCTTCAAGTTCAGCACTCAGCAGGCAGAAGCAGGTAAGGCCAGCCTAGTCTACATAGTGAGTTCCAGACCAGCCAGGGCTACACAGTGTAATAAATAGCTACATATAAACAAACAAACAGTTTTGCTAGGTTGGTCATTAGTTACTTTTCTAATCCTGTGCTAAAACATCATGCCAAGGCAGGTTATAGGAATTTTATTTACAATTCCAGAGGGTTAAGGGTCTGTC